CTTGGTAAATAACATAATGGTAGAGAGAGACGACTCCGTTCTTACAAACCCAGTAGTAAATAATATAATGGTAGAGAGAGACGACTCCGTTCATACAAAACCAGTCACCCTTGGTAAATAATATAATGGTAGAGAGAGACGACTCCGTTCTTACAAACCCAGTAGTAAATAATATAATGGTAGAGAGAGACGACTCCGTTCATACAAAACCAGTCACCCTTGGTAAATAATATAATGGTAGAGAGAGACGACTCCGTTCATACAAAACCAGTCACCCTTGGTAAATAATATAATGGTAGAGAGAGACGACTCCGTTCTTACAAACCCAGTAGTAAATAATATAATGGTAGAGAGAGACGACCGTTCTTACAAACCCAGTAGTAAATAATATAATGGTAGAGAGAGACGACTCCGTTCATACAAAACCAGTCACCCTTGGTAAATAATATAATGGTAGAGAGAGACGACTCCGTTCTTACAAACCCAGTAGTAAATAATATAATGGTAGAGAGAGACGACTCCGTTCTTACAAACCCAGTAGTAAATAATATAATGGTAGAGAGAGACGACTCCGTTCATACAAAACCAGTCACCCTTGGTAAATAATATAATGGTAGAGAGAGACGGCTCCGTTCTTACAAACCCAGTAGTAAATAATATAATGGTAGAGAGAGACGACTCCGTTCATACAAAACCAGTCACCCTTGGTAAATAATATAATGGTAGAGAGAGACGACTCCGTTCATACAAAACCAGTCACCCTTGGTAAATAATATAATGGTAGAGAGAGACGACTCCGTTCATACAAAGCCAGTCACCCTTGGTAAATAATATAATGGTAGAGAGAGACGACTCCGTTCATACAAAACCAGTCACCCTTGGTAAATAATATAATGGTAGAGAGAGACGACTCCGTTCATACAAAACCAGTCACCGTTGGTAAATAATATAATGGTAGAGAGAGACGACTCCGTTCATACAAAGCCAGTCACCCTTGGTAAATAATATAATGGTAGAGAGAGACGACTCCGTTCATACAAAACCAGTCACCCTTGGTAAATAATATAATGGTAGAGAGAGACGACTCCGTTCATACAAAACCAGTCACCCTTGGTAAATAATATAATGGTAGAGGTTCATACAAAACCAGTCACCCTTGGTAAATAATATAATGGTAGAGAGAGATACAAAGCCAGTCACCCTTGGTAAATAATATAATGGTAGAGAGAGACGACTCCGTTCATACAAAACCAGTCACCCTTGGTAAATAATATAATGGTAGAGAGAGACGACTCCGTTCATACAAAACCAGTCACCCTTGGTAAATAATATAATGGTAGAGAGAGACTCCGTTCATACAAAACCAGTCACCCTTGGTAAATAATATAATGGTAGAGAGAGACGACTCCGTTCATACAAAACCAGTCACCCTTGGTAAATAATATAATGGTAGAGAGAGACGACTCCGTTCATACAAAACCAGTCACCCTTGGTAAATAATATAATGGTAGAGAGAGACGACTCCGTTCATACAAAACCAGTCACCCTTGGTAAATAATATAATGGTAGAGAGAGACGACTCCGTTCATACAAAACCAGTCACCCTTGGTAAATAATATAATGGTAGAGAGAGACGACTCCGTTCATACAAAACCAGTCACCCTTGGTAAATAATATAATGGTAGAGAGAGACGACTCCGTTCATACAAAACCAGTCACCCTTGGTAAATAATATAATGGTAGAGAGAGACGACTCCGTTCATACAAAACCAGTCACCCTTGGTAAATAATATAATGGTAGAGAGAGACGACTCCGTTCATACAAAACCAGTCACCCTTGGTAAATAATATAATGGTAGAGAGAGACGACTCCGTTCATACAAAACCAGTCACCCTTGGTAAATAATATAATGGTAGAGAGAGACGACTCCGTTCATACAAAACCAGTCACCCTTGGTAAATAATATAATGGTAGAGAGAGAGACTCCGTTCATACAAACCAGTCACCCTTGGTAAATAATATAATGGTAGAGAGAGACGACTCCGTTCATACAAAACCAGTCACCCTTGGTAAATAATATAATGGTAGAGAGAGACGACTCCGTTCATACAAAACCAGTCACCCTTGGTAAATAATATAATGGTAGAGAGAGACGACTCCGTTCATACAAAACCATACAAAACCAGTCACCCTTGGTAAATAATATAATGGTAGAGAGAGACGACTCCGTTCATACAAAACCAGTCACCCTTGGTAAATAATATAATGGTAGAGAGAGACGACTCCGTTCATACAAAACCAGTCACCCTTGGTAAATAATATAATGGTAGAGAGAGACGACTCCGTTCATACAAAACCAGTCACCCTTGGTAAATAATATAATGGTAGAGAGAGACGACTCCGTTCATACAAAACCAGTCACCCTTGGTAAATAATATAATGGTAGAGAGAGAGAGACAAAACCAGTCACCCGTTCATACAAAACCAGTCACCCTTGGTAAATAATATAATGGTAGAGAGAGACGACTCCGTTCATACAAAACCAGTCACCCTTGGTAAATAATATAATGGTAGAGAGAGACGACTCCGTTCATACAAAACCAGTCACCCTTGGTAAATAATATAATGGTAGAGAGAGACGACTCCGTTCTTACAAACCCAGTAGTAAATAATATAATGGTAGAGAGAGACGACTCCGTTCATACAAAACCAGTCACCCTTGGTAAATAATATAATGGTAGAGAGAAACCAGTCATACAAAACCAGTCACCCTTGGTAAATAATATAATGGTAGAGAGAGACGACTCCGTTCATACAAAACCAGTCACCCTTGGTAAATAATATAATGGTAGAGAGAGAGACGTTCATACAAAACCAGTCACCCGTTCTTACAAACCCAGTAGTAAATAATATAATGGTAGAGAGAGACCTCCGTTCTTACAAACCCAGTAGTAAATAATATAATGGTAGAGAGAGACGACTCCGTTCATACAAAACCAGTCACCCTTGGTAAATAATATAATGGTAGAGAGAGACGACTCCGTTCTTACAAACCCAGTAGTAAATAATATAATGGTAGAGAGAGACGACTCCGTTCTTACAAACCCAGTAGTAAATAATATAATGGTAGAGAGAGACGACTCCGTTCATACAAAACCAGTCATCCTTGGTAAATAATATAATGGTAGAGAGAGACGACTCCGTTCTTACAAACCCAGTAGTAAATAATATAATGGTAGAGAGAGACGACTCCGTTCATACAAAACCAGTCACCCTTGGTAAATAATATAATGGTAGAGAGAGACGACTCCGTTCATACAAAACCAGTCACCCTTGGTAAATAATATAATGGTAGAGAGAGACGACTCCGTTCATACAAAGCCAGTCACCCTTGGTAAATAATATAATGGTAGAGAGAGACGACTCCGTTCATACAAAACCAGTCACCCTTGGTAAATAATATAATGGTGTAGAGAGAAGACTCCGTTCATACAAAACCAGTCACCGTTGGTAAATAATATAATGGTAGAGAGAGACGACTCCGTTCATACAAAACCAGTCACCCTTGGTAAATAATATAATGGTAGAGAGAGACGACTCCGTTCATACAAAGCCAGTCACCCTTGGTAAATAATATAATGGTAGAGAGAGACGACTCCGTTCATACAAAGCCAGTCACCCTTGGTAAATAATATAATGGTAGAGAGAGACGACTCCGTTCATACAAAACCAGTCACCCTTGGTAAATAATATAATGGTAGAGAGAGACGACTCCGTTCATACAAAGCCAGTCACCCTTGGTAAATAATATAATGGTAGAGAGAGACGACTCCGTTCATACAAAACCAGTCACCCTTGGTAAATAATATAATGGTAGAGAGAGACGACTCCGTTCATACAAAACCAGTCACCCTTGGTAAATAATATAATGGTAGAGAGAGACGATTCGTTCTTACAAACCCAGTAGTAAATAATATAATGGTAGAGAGAGACGACTCCGTTCATACAAACCCAGTAGTAAATAATATAATGGTAGAGAGAGACGACTCCGTTCATACCAAAACCAGTCACCCTTGGTAAATAATATAATGGTAGAGAGAGACGACTCCGTTCATACAAAACCAGTCACCCTTGGTAAATAATATAATGGTAGAGAGAGACGACTCCGTTCATACAAAACCAGTCACCGTTGGTAAATAATATAATGGTAGAGAGAGACGACTCCGTTCATACAAAACCAGTCACCCTTGGTAAATAATATAATGGTAGAGAGAGACGACTCCGTTCATACAAAACCAGTCACCCTTGGTAAATAATATAATGGTAGAGAGAGAAGATTCGTTCTTACAAACCCAGTAGTAAATAATATAATGGTAGAGAGAGACGACTCCGCTCATACAAAACCAGTCACCCTTGGTAAATAATATAATGGTAGAGAGAGACGACTCCGTTCATACAAAACCAGTCACCCTTGGTAAATAATATAATGGTATATAGAGACGATTCGTTCATACAAAGCCAGTCACCCTTGGTAAATAATATAATGGCAGAGAGAGACGACTCCGTTCATACAAAACCAGTCACCCTTGGTAAATAATATAATGGTATAGAGAGACGACTCCGTTCATACAAAACCAGTCACCCTTGGTAAATAATATAATGGTAGAGAGAGACGATTCGTTCATACAAAGCCAGTCACCCTTGGTAAATAATATAATGGTAGAGAGAGACGATTCGTTCATACAAAGCCAGTCACCCTTGGTAAATAACATAATGGATATGAGTACATTGTAAGTTAAACCAATGCTACAAAATCTTATATAAGTGTAGTGATGTTTTCTTTTCTTTAAAACTCAAAGTTACGCTGCATAATTTTGAAAAGAAATACATATCTTAAAATCTATGGGATAACGATGTATTGGGTAAATAGATAGCTTGTATGAAAAGGGGGGTTACTCTTTCACATTTCAGAAACTCCGCACAGTCTTTATAAATAGTATCACATATTGTTGACGTAACCGGCCATATGAAAAACCTTAATTGTGCCTCTATCGCCCACCCAGATGGTTCCAGTCGAACCACATCCAATTAAAAAAGGTAGACCAAAGCCGCCTTCCGCCCCAGTCACTAAAGTACCTATGAATCCTGCACAAGGGTCCAATACCAACACAGACGCACTGGCTTGTTCAACAACGAGAATGTTTCCATTGGGGTCAAAACAAACTCCAGCCGGATTGATGCCCCTGGGTCCATCCTGTTCAAACAAAGGAAGAAAACTGAGCAGCCCTATGCCCCTTCCATCCAAGTTAAATTCTCCGATAACTTTGCCGCTCTCAAGGAACACGGATACAATCTTCCGTTCGCTATCACTCATGCAAATTGTGTCATTAACTTGGTTAACGGCCACAACAGAAGGACGACAGTTTTCTCTACTCAGGTCAGCAAGAATCGTCTTTCCGTCCTTCGACAAAATCACGATTTTACCTTTAGACGAAGGTTCTGGCTGTTTTTCCTTTGTGTTTTCAGAATTTTCTCCCAAATTTCTAACTATCTTCTCCACAGGAATCATTGTTCCAACAACAACCACTCGCTCGTCTGAAAACAACGCCATCGACAAACCATCAAAGTTGTTAATGACACAGAAAAGCTTCACAGCAGTTCCATTCACGATGGATATTTCGTTTTTGGTTAGAAACAATACACTGTTATCTTTACGGTACACCATATCCATGATTGTAGTAAAAGGAGTAATAGTTGTACCTCCAACATACTTGCCTTTGGAATCATGTTGTCGATAGGTGGAGCTACAATCTACGATGCTATAACACGTGTTTTCGTGAGTCGTTCGGATACATGTGATTAATGCGTCGTCCTCCAAGATCAACGGGAAAGTGCATTCTAAGTCCACTTTGTACTTTGTTCTCATTCGAAGCAGTGGAAACCGGACTATGAATCCAAGCGAATTATCCTCATAAGTATAATCGCTGTCGTCACTTTCGTCTGACGCTAATTCAGATGATAGCGTACAGCGATGGTCCCGCACATCATCAGGTAATATTTTGACTCTGCAAAAGTTACACCTAGGGTAGTGTTTGTAGGCGACGTTACAGCGGTCAACGGTTTGAATATCACGAACGAAGTAGTTGTTGATGAAACCTTCCACCCCAACAGACGGCAGAGCACATTGAGTCCGACACAGGGGACATACAATGAACTCGTTTAGATCCTGGGGACAAGAGCTTTCCCCGTAGTCCTTCAAGCATGGTTCACAGAACGTGTGTCGGCATGGCAAGAGCTTGGGAGACCTGTAACTGTCAAAGCAGATATCACATCCTTCGTCGTCTTCGCCGTCTGCCATTTTGTTCACTTCCTTTTCAGGACAAAAAAAAATCAACATTACTGACTTAATCTTTTATTTGACATATCATTTTACAGATAGTGAATAAGGAGTATTTCATGTTCATCGTTGCAAATATCGAACGACCTATCTTTGGGCAGTGCCCCCGTCCTACTTTGTAGTATTAGATCATAGGTGTTTTTATCACTCTACATTTTATCAGTCTGAACAGCCTCAAAACTGTCCTACTCTATTTTATTTTATTTAATTGCGACTATTATCTTGTTTCTGAACCAATGATAAAGTAATAGTGTGTTAGTCAAACTATTTAGATAGGTTTGCGTTAGAGAAACTGTTAAGATAGGTCTGTGTTACTCAAACTATTTAAATAGGTCTGTGTAAGTCAAACTACTTAGATAGGTCTGTGTTAGAGAAACTACTTAGATAGGTCTGTGTTAGAGAAACTATTAAGATAGGTCTGTGTTAGTCAAACTATTAAGATAGGTCTGTGTTAGTCAAACTATTAAGTAAGGTCTGTGTTAGTCTAACTACTTAGATAGGTCTGTGTTAGTCAAACTACTTAGATAGGTCTGTGTTAGAGAAACTGTTAAGATAGGTCTGTGTTAGTCAAACTACTTAGATAGGTCTGTGTTAGTCAAACTTCTTAGATAGGTCTGTGTTAGCCAAACTACTTAGATAGGTCTGTGTTAGCCAAACTACTTAGATAGGTCTGTGTTAGCCAAACTACTTAGATAGGTCTGTGTTAGTCAAACTACTTAGATAGGTCTGTGTTAGCCAAACTACTTAGATAGGTCTGTGTTAGTCAAACTACTTAGATAGGTCTGTGTTAGCCAAACTACTTAGATAGGTCTGTGTTAGCCAAACTACTTAGATAGGTCTGTGTTAGTCAAACTTCTTAGATAGGTCTGTGTTATTCAATCTTCTTAGATAGGTCTGTGTTAGTCAAACTACTTAGATAGGTCTGTGTTAGTCACACTATTAAGTAAGGTCTCTGTTAGATAGGTCTGTGTTAGTCAAACTATTTAAATAGGTCTGTGTTAGTCAAACTATTAAGTAAGGTCTGTGTTAGTCAAACTACTTAGACAAGTCTGTGTTAGAGAAACTATTAAGATTGGTCTGTGTTAGTCAAACTATTAGGTAAGGTCTGTGTTAGTCAAACTACTTAAATGGGTCTGTGTTAGAGAAACTATTAAGATTGGTCTGTGTTAGTCAAACTATTATGTAAGGTCTGTGTTAGTCAAACTACTTAGATAGGTCTGTGTTAGTCAAACTATTTAAATAGGTCTGTGTTAGTCAAACCATTTAGATAGGTCTGTGTTAGAGAAACTGTTATGATAGGTCTGTGTTAGTCAAACTACTTAGATAGGTCTGTGTTAGCCAAACTACTTAGATAGGTCTGTGTTAGCCAAACTACTTAGATAGGTCTGTGTTAGTCAAACTACTTAGATAGGTCTGTGTTAGTCAAACTACTTAGATAGATTTGTGTTAGTCAAACTATTAAGTAAGGTCTGTGTTATTCAATCTTCTTAGATAGGTCTGTGTTAGTCAAACTACTTAGATAGGTCTGTGTTAGTCAAACTATTAAGTAAGGTCTGTATTAGTCAAACTACTTAGATAGATCTGTGTTAGTCAAACTATTAAGTAAGGTCTGTGTTAGTCAAACTACTTAGATAGATCTGTGTTAGTCAAACTACTTAGATAGGTCTGTGTTAGTCAAACTACTTAGATAGGTCTGTGTTAGCCAAACTACTTAGATAGGTCTGTGTTAGCCAAACTACTTAGATAGGTCTGTGTTAGCCAAACTACTTAGATAGGTCTGTGTTAGTCAAACTACTTAGATAGGTCTGTGTTAGCCAAACTACTTAGATAGGTCTGTGTTAGTCAAACTACTTAGATAGGTCTGTGTTAGCCAAATTACTTAGATAGGTCTGTGTTAGCCAAACTACTTAGATAGGTCTGTGTTAGTCAAACTTCTTAGATAGGTCTGTGTTATTCAATCTTCTTAGATAGGTCTGTGTTAGTCAAACTACTTAGATAGGTCTGTGTTAGTCAAACTATTAAGTAAGGTCTGTATTAGTCAAACTACTTAGATAGATCTGTGTTAGTCAAACTATTAAGTAAGGTCTCTGTTAGTCAAACTACTTAGATAGGTCTGTGTTAGTCAAACTACTTAGATAGGTCTGTGTTAGTCAAACTACTTAGACAGGTCTGTGTTAGAGAAACTGTTAAGATAGGTCTGTGTTATTCAATCTTCTTAGATAGGTCTGTGTTAGTCAAACTACTTAGATAGGTCTGTGTTAGTCAAACTATTAAGTAAGGTCTGTATTAGTCAAACTACTTAGATAGATCTGTGTTAGTCAAACTATTAAGTAAGGTCTCTGTTAGTCAAACTACTTAGAGAGATCTGTGTTAGTCAAACTACTTAAATAGATCTGTGTTAGTCACACTATTAAGTAAGGTCTCTGTTAGATAGGTCTGTGTTAGTCAAACTATTTAAATAGGTCTGTGTTAGTCAAACTATTAAGTAAGGTCTGTGTTAGTCAAACTACTTAGACAGGTCTGTGTTAGAGAAACTATTAAGATTGGTCTGTGTTAGTCAAACTATTAGGTAAGGTCTGTGTTAGTCAAACTACTTAAATGGGTCTGTGTTAGAGAAACTATTAAGATTGGTCTGTGTTAGTCAAACTATTATGTAAGGTCTGTGTTAGTCAAACTACTTAGATAGGTCTGTGTTAGTCAAACTATTTAAATAGGTCTGTGTTAGTCAAACCATTTAGATAGGTCTGTGTTAGAGAAACTGTTATGATAGGTCTGTGTTAGCCAAACTACTTAGATAGATCTGTGTTAGTCAAACTACTTAGATAGGTCTGTGTTAGTCAAACTACTTAAATAGGTCTGTGCAAGTCAAATTACTTAGATATGTCTGTGTTAGTCAAACTACTTAGATAGGTCTGTGTTAGTCAAACTACTTAGATAGGTCTGTGTTAGCCAAACTACTTAGATAGGTCTGTGTTAGCCAAACTACTTAGATAGGTCTGTGTTAGTCAAACTACTTAGATAGGTCTGTGTTAGTCAAACTACTTAGATAGATCTGTGTTAGTCAACCTACTTAAATGGATCTGTGTTAGTCAAACTACTTAAATAGGTCTGTGCAAGTCAAATTACTTAGATAGGTCTGTGTTAGTCAAACTACTTAAATAGGTCTGTGTTAGTCAAACTACTTAGATAGGTCTGTGTTAGTCAAACTACTTAAATAGGTCTGTGCAAGTCAAATTACTTAGATATGTCTGTGTTAGTCAAACTACTTAAATAGATCTGTGTTAGTCAAACTACTTAAATAGATCTGTGTTAGTCAAACTATTAAGTAAGGTCTGTGTTAGTCAAACTACTTAGATAGGTCTGTGTTAGTCAAACTACTTAAATAGGTCTGTGTTAGTCAAACTACTTAGATAGGTCTGTGTTAGTCAAACTACTTAAATAGGTCTGTGCAAGTCAAATTACTTAGATATGTCTGTGTTAGTCAAACTACTTAAATAGATCTGTGTTAGTCAAACTATTAAGTAAGGTCTGTGTTAGTCAAACTATTTAAATAGGTCTGTGTTAGTCAAACCATTTAGATAGGTCTGTGTTAGAGAAACTGTTATGATAGGTCAGTGTTAGTCAAACTACTTAGATAGGTCTGTGTTAGTCAAACTACTTAGATAGGTCTGTGTTAGAGAAACTGTTATGATAGGTCTGTGTTAGTCAAACTACTTAGATAGGTCTGTGTTAGTCAAACTACTTAGATAGATCTGTGTTAGTCAAACTACTTAGATAGGTCTGTGTTAGAGAAACTGTTATGATAGGTCTGTGTTAGTCAAACTACTTAGATAGGTCTGTGTTAGTCAAACTACTTAGATAGGTCTGTGTTAGTCAAACTACTTAGATAGGTCTGTGTTAGTCAAACTACTTAGATAGGTATGTGTTAGTCAAACTACTTAGATAGGTCTGTGTTAGTCAAACTACTTAGATAGGTCTGTGTTAGTCAAACTACTTAGATAGGTCTGTGTTAGTCAAACTACTTAGATAGATCTGTGTTAGTCAAACTACTTAGATAGGTCTGTGTTAGTCAAACTACTTAGATAGGTCTGTGTTAGTCAAACTACTTAGATAGATCTGTGTTAGTCAAACTACTTAGATAGGTCTGTGTTAGTCAAACTACTTAGATAGGTCTGTGTTAGAGAAACTGTTATGATAGGTCTGTGTTAGTCAAACTACTTAGATAGGTCTGTGTTAGTCAAACTACTTAGATAGGTCTGTGTTAGTCAAACTACTTAGATAGGTCTGTGTTAGTCAAACTACTTAGATAGATCTGTGTTAGTCAAACTACTTAGATAGGTCTGTGTTAGTCAAACTACTTAGATAGGTCTGTGTTAGTCAAACTACTTAGATAGGTCTGTGTTAGAGAAACTGTTATGATAGGTCTGTGTTAGTCAAACTACTTAGATAGGTCTGTGTTAGTCAAACTACTTAAATAGATCTGTGTTAGTCGTTTTCTCGTATCAGTGACTATCTTAAGTATAGCGTGTATTATCAGATATCTCTATCGATCTCGTATCATATACTCCGTTTGCTGGTCTCTGTTATCCGTAGACTGAAATACAATATATCACACAATAACACAACAATAAGTGACAACATTCATTCACGTGTTACTGATATTTCTGTCACGTGAAGATGATGCAGTACAATTAAAGTAAAATGATATTTTATTTTGTCACTCATCATGTTGATATATTTGCGTATGTTCAACAGAAGAGTTGCTCTCTAAAGAATGCTGGTAACTTTACAAATAATAAGCTGGTGCAATGTGTTTAGACAGATACATTTTCGAGTGATTGAATCCTGTCATTGTTATGCCGTATACTTCATTTATATTCTATGAATATCATAACATTGCAAACTCGATTTGCACCAGAACTGTATGTGATACCAGATGTCGGACCACATATTCCTAGTAC